TCGGCTGCGGTGCATGGGAACGAACTAGCTCGCCTGCGATGCCTGGGAAAAACCTAACATGGGACTGGAAAAGACATCAGCGCTTACTCACGATGAATGTAGACAAAAATGGAAAATATTGCAGCGCTTGCGTACGAACAAAAAAAATATATAGACAGCAGCGCTCGCTGGCGAAAAAAAAGAAAAAGAGAGCAGCGTTCACTATGGATATCTCAATTATAAGCTCGAATGAACTCTGAAAAAGTTTGGATCAACATAACCCAAATCTAGAACTGCATAAAAGACAAAAAGGTCCCTTCCAAACAGACACCGACCGGGTTATTTGAGAACCAAACACACACATATGACACATATTTTACAGTAATTATTCCTTCTCAACTAGCTAGCCAGCAAACAATATATAACCAGCCCTACAGCCTATAAAAACACCCATCCTCCCCCCCCTCCCCCAAATAATCCCCGCCCACAATGCCATGGTATATAAAAACAATACAAAACAAAACAAAAACAAACAAACCCCCTATCTTACCCCCTAAACGCCATCCCATGCTTTTCCCTTTCCTCATATCCCCCATACCCCCGCCCCCTTCCTCATAATCACTCCAAAACCATCCACTTCCTCACCACCTCCGCCGCCCCCTCCAAATCCCCCAACAAATACCCCATACTCCTCAAATTATACGCCGCCTCCACCCTCAAATCCTCCTCCGCCAACCCCCCCTTCCACCTCTCCTCATCACTCCTATCCACCTTTGGCACCGGCGGCTCCTCCAACACCTTCTTGTAAAACTCCACCGCCACATTCCCCAGCCCAATCAGCGAATACGCCCTCGCCATATTGAAATGCGCCTCCTGCCTCTGTCCCGCACTCCCATTCCTCTCCGCCTCCGCCAGCCTGTCTTCATAGTACCTAAACAAAAAACTGAAGCCTTGGTTGAGGAGATACTGCCTGTTGGTAGCCTGCCTCTTCAAGGCGTAGTGGATGTACGCCAGGCCCGTGGACAGGTTGATGAGGCAGTTTGTGGGATCGATCGAGGCAGCGCGGGCAAAGTAGGACAGGGCGTAGGTGTACGAGGTGGTCGTGAAGAGAATGTGCCCGTAAATAGTGAGCAGGGAGACGTCCAACCCGATCGAATCGTCCTTTTCCCCAGACGGCGATTGCTGCTGTCTCATGACAATGTTGTCCATTGTCTTGATCTGCCTCAAAATGAACTTTTGGGCCGGGCCCGACGTGTACCACGACACGGGCGTCTGGCAGACTCGGCACATAGCCGAGAACATGCGGTAAGAATCCGTGCCTGGGCGGTAATCCCTCATGAAATAGCGGGCAATAGCAACACAGGTTTCTTCGTCGCCAGCGTAGACGGCGCAGGATGCCCAGGCAACGTGGATAAGAAAGGTGTTGTCGATGGATGTCCAGACAACAGAGTCACGGGCGGCGTGGCAGACGGCATAAGCCTCTCTATGCTGACCGGCGCGGACGAGGGCGAAGGCGTAGTTGAGGAAAATATTCAACCACTCCGTGAACGGAATGCCGCGATGTTCTTGGGGAATCTTGAAATGAGGCTTGTTGACGGTAGCCGCAGTAGCCGGGTCCGCACCATCCGCCGGAGCGAGGTTCTGACGCAAACGTTCCTCCATGGCGGCGAGCTTCAAGTTCCTGGCAGGAACAGCCTGCTGGCCACCCTCGGAAGGGTTGACGTATCCCAGGAACTTGATGTATTTGTCCCAAGGATAAAACTGCTTGTAAGCCCGGAAGTCGTCAACCAACGCCTTCGCAGCCGCCATCCACTTGCTCTTGGCCTCCTCATCCCCTAGCAAAGCGTTGCCCTCCATCTCTTGCATGATCTGGTAGTTCTTGGTCGCTTCCTTTGTCTGCTCAATCTCCTGCTGTCTCCTCTTCTCAGCATTGAGCAACCGGCGCGGCACATACTTCGACTTTGGCGCATTTGGATCCCTTGGCTTTCTGGGTTTGCGCGGCCCAGTGTTCTTCCGGGGACCATACGGACCACGTCTCTTTCTTGGTCCCAGCTTCTGCAGGTTCAGGGCCTCATGAACCAGCAAGAAAGCTTCCTCCCTGCCCTCCTGCTCCTGTTCTCCTTCGTACATATTGGCAAGCTGCACGCGAGCCTCGATGTGGTCCTCATCGTCCTCAATCGCAGCAATGAAACATTCTTCAGCGGTCTGCTTCTCCCCCAAAGAGATGTGATATCGACCTTGACAGACCAAGAAGTCCGCATCGATGCTGCTCGTGCCCTCTGTCTCAGCAATGTGCTTGAACAGGTCCAGATACTGCTTCGCCTCCGCAGCCTTGTTCTGATCCAGCAGCGCAAGCGCGATATCCTTCAAGCAGTCCGGGAAGTCCATGAATTCCTCTTGCCTTGTCGGATCAAGCAGCTCCAAATGTCGCCTGGCCTCAGTATCCTGGAACCCCAGTTTGCACCGGTAAACAAACATCTTCGCCCTCAAATCCATGGGCATCCCCAAGCCATAACTCTCTCTCGGAAACTTGCCCGGCACAAAGCCCTGCACTCCCGATCTCCTCTCCTCCCCAATATCCCACTCCCGATCATCATCCCCCATCGGCCCATCATCAAACTGCTCCCAATACGTTTCTTCTCTTCTCCCCGACAACCACCTGGCAATCTCCTTCAGCTCTTTCAACCCCTCCCTCCACAACTCCAACGTCCCAAAGAACTCGAGATAAATTCTCAAATCACTCCACTCAAACCTCCCCTCCTCCGCCTCAAACGTCCCCCTCTCCATCAAATAATCAATCACCTTCCTATACGCTGCCCTCGCAATCCCCGCCCCCTTCTTCAAATCCTTCACATCTAGCGCCACATCCGCAATATTCCTCACCGTCCGAATATTATACGGCCTGTACCCAAGCGCCTTTTGATACTCCCCCAAAGCCCTGCTCTGCTGATTCCCCATCATCATAATCACATCCGCCCTCGCAATCCTCGCCTGGATATGCGTCCTGTCCACCTCCAACGCCTGACTATAACAAGCATACGCTCTCTTCAACGTCTCAATCTTTTCCGCAGTCTGATTCCCCTCCTCATCATCCTCCATCTCGTCCACCCCCTCAAGACAATACTCCGCCGTCGCGATCCACTGCGGCACATCCCTCGGCGTCAAATGCGCAGCCGTAATCCGGCACATCACCGCCTGGGACCGGTTCTCCAGCGCCTCGTGCACCGACGACAGCAACACCCAAGCATGAATAACCTCGGAATTGATCCGGATAATCTCCGAAATCATCGTCATGGTCGCCTCGTAATCCCCCCTCTGAAACGCCTGCTGAGCCAAGTTCAATCGAAACAGGATATCCGGCGAGGGCTTGACCGCCTGTCTCGGACCCTTGACAGTCTTTGACTTGCGCTTGCGTCCCTTGGCGATAATCACACCCCCCTTTGTCTTCTTCTCTCCAGCCGCCGCCACCGACTTGGCAGGGGGATGATAAGGAACACCCGCAGCATCAGCCCTCTGGCGAGCAACGAATTCCTCCTGCTGCTTGTCGAACCTCGCGACTTCGGCAGCGAGCTCCATGGCGTCAGAGTCGACAGACATGTCGCTGACGTCTGACTCCTCGCCATCATCTTCGAGGTGGTCGTCACCAGGAGCGGGGCAGTCTCCCATTTCAGCATCCTGATCTTGCTGCTGAGCTGGGGGGAGAGGTCGGTGGCCCTCGGGGAAGAGAGATGGGTCGAGCATGTCCATGGGGATGCCCCCCAGCCCGGAGGAGAAGGTGTTCATCTTGGATAGTTGTGATGTGTGTAGTCGTGCTTCCTTATCGTGAGTAAAGCGTGGTGGAGGTGAATGAAGAGTAGTGAGATCAACGACTTGCAACAAAACTCGAAACCACTGTCAAAGTCGATGAAAACTTTCTCTCTCTCTGCTCAATCGCGGGGTAACCAGATTAAACGCGTCCCTCGTCCCCCTCCATCCCACCAAATCTTCAATATCCCCCTCCTTCTCACCCACTTGAAGCAGGAACGACGACCCCCTTCTCTCAGCGACTTGCAAGGCTGAAATTTTCCTCTTTTGGTCATGTGTCGAGATATCCAGTAAGGAAGCCCGGCAATGTTGAGAAATCTCAGAAACAGATATTGAGTTTGAAGAGTCTATTACTTCTTGACTGTCGTAAACTTTGGCTGAGAAAGTCGCAAACTTTGAGGATCAAGTTCACACTCTCATGAATAAGAGCAACTCGAAATTCGAGGCTGCAGCTAACCGCACAGTGCGGCGCCATCCAAAAGTTGTGAGCATATGAGGGTTGGACCGTGCATTGTGATGTATTCACGTGATGTAGCACGTGATTGGAGGAACAAGATTTTGGGCATGATTTTGAACGATGGGAGGTTGAATGGGTGGCCCATTGTGGTGGTTGAAAATGGGAATGGCCTTAGCTTCTTCCTCGAGTTTGGTTGCGACTTTGTCATTGGAAAATACGGGCCCAGGGCTGATAATGCTGCTGAAGATGGTATGCTCGTTGGTAGAATAGAATAGTCTAAATATACACCCAAGATATCCCAGTCAGCAGACATGCCCCGTTAACTAGTCACAACACAGCAAACAAGACATTCTCAAGTCTCGACTCAGAAAAACTGATCAATTCACCGCACCAACACCTATAGATATATCAAGGTAGCCTCGCAACACGCTACCCGCCCAAACTACCCCCCAGACCATGTATCTCATCCCGCTCATACAAAAACATATCAACATGTCCAATCGTGCCTCGAGAAAAAGAAAAAAAAGAAAGGATCAGATTCGGCCAAGGAACAGCACCGGCATGTAACGCTTGAGATAGTGCCGCCATATATCCATGTGCTTTTCCCAATCTTCGTGTGAAAAAACCCAAGGCACGAAAAGAATCACTAGTTATTAGCCGTCCCCTCTACACCATGATGTATTCTGTGATGCTTTCGCTCTGCGTGGTGTCTTCGCTGTCTTTCGTCTGCTTCATCTGTTCATTCATGGTCGCCTCGCATCTAGCTCGACAACTTGCCCTCGTTTTTGGCCTCTGCAGAACCAGTTAGCATTGATCTTGTAGTCAGTATAAAAAAACACTTACCCTTGACCTGCTCAAAGACCTTGAGCATCTTGCGTCTAGCACCCAGTGCATTGACGCCGCGCTCCTCCAGTTGCTTGTCGTCCAATTCAATAAGGTCTGTCCATTTCATGTCCTTGAGGTTATCCGTGTACTTGTGCAGACGAAGGCTCCGTAGCCAGCTCGGGATGTCCTGCAAAAGAGTGGGGTCGGTGGGATCCTCAGGGGGCTTCGAGGTGCCTCTCCGACCACGCGGAGAGCGGCCGCGGACCATATCAGAGTGATCAGAGTGGTAACCGCCGCCCTCAAATCCGACCTGAATGTGGGGTGGGAAGTTTGGAGCCAGTCCATTGTTCATAAGCCCAGCCGACCCATCATAGGCGCTCAAGAATCCATTGTTCTGCGGCGAGGCAAATGCCATGGCCGGAACATACGAGTTCTGCAGGGGAACGCCGGGCGAGTTGGGACGAGACCGGTGGTTGACAAAGCCCATGCCCTGTTGCGGCTGCTGAAGGTTCAACATACCATCCCGGCCCAAAGCCATGCCACCGCCATGCTGGCTGACCATGATGGCACCGGGGATGCTGGGAAGACCAGGAGAAAGCGGGTTCTGGCCCGGATCCGGATCATTGGATCGGGCACGACGATACTTGCGCACATCATCCAGCGCGAACCGGTTGTTCACGGTAGAAAGCGCAGCCAGCTTCATGGCTGTGGCGTTGGCCACCATATCGGCGTTGTTACCGCCCTGATTGAAGGTGGGCACCATCGGAGTGTTGACCATGGACGCCCAGTTGCCGCTGGCGGTATAAGGAGAAAGCAGGGGCAAATCACCAACACCCTTGTCACCGGTCGTCAAGGTGGTAGACTGAATGTTGGTGTTTCCAGTGATATTGGGGCGAGGTGAACGAAGAGCACCGCTCGAGGGAGGGGGCTGAACGAACTGGCCCATCGGCGGCTGCCCAGCAGAAGACGATTTGGGCCGGTTCGCATCGTTGGGACCCCAAGGAGAAGCAGGATTCTGTCCGTTGGGGTCCTCGGCGGGGGCCGAGATGGTGGGGGCCGCAAGCGAATTGCGGTTGTCCACAAGGCTGTTGCGGGTGGAGGGGGGCTGGCCCGTCTGCTGAGTGAACTTGGCCTTCTCAGTCGCAATGGCGGCGGCGGCATCGGGAAACATGGCATTGATCGTGCTGGGGTCGAGACCAGACTGACGCTTCGCAGCGGGGCTCGCGCGGGCCATCGAGTTGCGAGCCGAGTCTACATTGAGCTTGCTCATAGCATCGCTCAAGCGGTTGGACATGGGATCTGGAATCAGAGTATTTAATCAGGCACAGTTCAGGTCACACATTCCCCTATTCCGCAATCAAACTCACCTTTGTCAAAGTTGGCGGGGGAAAGAACGCCCGACATGGGGTGGTTCTTTCCCATCTGCTGCAATACCTGGATAAAGAAGCGAATTTGAACCTGGGTGGTTTGCTGAAGGAGGGCGTAGAGAGCCGCAGTACGCTCAGCCTCGCTCAGGACCTGGAACCACTGTTCAATGGCGCTGAGCTCATCCTTGAAGTCCTGGTCCAAGGTGGCAGCAGCCATCTCCTCGAGAGTGTTCTCATACTGGTCGATATCGGCAATCCATTGCTGGGTAAGCTTATCCTGGGGATCCAACTCAGCAGCACCTTGGCCCTGTCCGCCCTGAACCTGACCATAAAAGTCCGACGAGGGGCGGATGCGGGCGGCGGCGGCCTGGTTGCTCAGAGTAGAGATATCGGCAGAGGCACGAAGAGGGTGGGGGTTCGCGCCAACGGCCCTCGAAGAAGGGGGGCGCAGCGATGAGACGTTGGACGCCTCGGGCGTGCTGTTGCGGTTGCTCATAATGTTGGACATATTGAGCATGCTCGCGGAAGCTACCGGTATGCAATTGTCGGCGGCTTAAATATGTTGGAGAAGACTATGGTCCCAAGTCAAGAGAGTGGAAGAATCAGAGTAACTTCTCCAAAGACTGCTCGGTGCCAGTTGCCAGGATGAAACAGAGCTCGCGGCTGCTGATGTATTAGCAGGGTCCTTGTAGATCAGTGGCCCGTGGGGGTGGGCACGGGCAGCCAAGAATTGTTTCGTGATTTTCTCGAAGGAGTTTGCTTTATGCTGTAGGTTTTTTTTGACCACGTCAGACGTACCAAGGGCAGATAAAGATGCGTTCGGCGTGATTAGGTTGTGTGGCTATTAGACTCGGCGTTCGAGCGACTTTCGAAGTCGGGAGCGAAAGAGGGCGATTTTGGAAAAGGCGCGAAAAGACTTTCGAAAGCTCTCCTGCAGTAACCCGCTGGCCTCAAAGGAGGATCGAAATATCGCGAAAGAAGCGGTGTTAGACTGCGCGAGCTGTAGAGACCATGTCAGTAATCGATAATGATACTGGATGCCGTTTGTTTGGTTGTTGAAAGGAAACCAGTGCACTGGGCCTCTTCAGACCCTCGATAAATACTCGAACACAGCCCTCGAAGAAAGAGCGGAGAGGCCAAGGCAAGAAGCAACCAACGGCCGTATTACATGGCAAGCGGTGTGCAGCTTCAAAGGCAGGAGCGCGGGATGAACAACAGACTCCAGCTGTCAGGAGAAAATAGACCCGACGACAAAGCGGAAGGGGGGTGGTTTGTTGCCATCTCGTCCAGTCCATTCTCCGTTGAGGCTGGTGGCCCCCTGAGCAACAGGAACAATAGCAGCCAGAGCACCCCGAGAACAATGCCATCCAATGTCGCAAAGAGCTGGAGAAGTCTTACGTACCCATTAATAAAATAACAACCCGACCAAAAAAGAGGAACCTGGCCCAGCAGCGAGGAAGGTGGTTCCGCAAGGTGAAGGGACGACGACACGACAGGCAGGAAGAGAACCTGATCAGGACTCAGAAGAGGTGGTGGAAAGGGAAGGGAGAGCCAAGAGCTGGCTATAAAGTGTGAGAAAGTCAGCCGTTAGCGCGCTGAGCCTCGCTAACTAATAAAAGCTGGCCGTTGATTCTTGAAACGTCCCTGACCTCCACCCAGCCCCGGCGTTACCGACTGCTTCTCCAGTTCTTCCAAATCCACTAACCCACCAACAATGGAGCGCCCTGTCAGTGGTAAAACATGTCTTTTTCTTGGGGGATTCTTGGGTTGTTTGGGGACACCCCATTCGTACTGTTGACAATCTGCTGGGGGTGGATATCTAGGAGTCTTCCGCATCATCTCCACCATCCACTACATTACCTAGAAATCAACTGACATTGCGCTGTGCATCCATCCACCAGAGCAACCGCAAGCCCCTCAGCGCATTGGACTCCTCGTTGAGCTTCAGCCTTGGGACACAAAAAGGGGTTGCAGTGGAACCCGCTACCTAAACCCCGCCCCCTAACATCACCGTGCCGTTCGCCTCTCTGCACCTCACCCACGGCTGTCGGCTTCCGCAGCCGCCAGGGGTGACACATTCCACATGGGACGACAGGCCACTCTTGTTCCAATGTTCTACTGATCAGATGTGTTGAGAGGTCACAAGACATGTCAAGGTCATCCTGAGCCAGTCTTAGAAAACATGCTGTTTATTTATTGTTGCTAGTGTATCTGGTGTTAGGAACCTGGTGGCAAAAGGATCAGTCTGACATCGTCATACTCGGCCACTCCAAGTCAGAATGTCAAACAAACGGACTATGCAGTAAAGCGGCTCAGTTTGCGATCAGCATCTCGTATCTGCCACTGAGAGCACTCAGAGCAGAGCACTCTGGAGAAGAGCACTCTGGAGAGGAGCACTCTGGAGAAGAGCACTCTGGAGAAGAGCACTCTGGAGAAGAGCATATAAGCGTTGAAATAGCTAGTGGCACACCGTTCCGCAGACCAAGAAAGCAGTTGCCCCTCACCACAGGAGTAGTGCAAAGCTTCCAAATCGTGGAAGTGAGATCGTCATCTGGACATAAGCAAAGGGATCATGTCTGGAAGAAATGTTGACTGGCTTTCATGCACCTTGAGTCTATGTGGCAGACAGAGGTGTTTGGTAATAGCCAGGCATGGGATTTGATCTTGGCACGAAGAATTATCCTTCAGCTAAAAGAGTACGGGTAGTAGACTCAGAGCTGTACACACTAATGCCGTTTTGATATCTCGAGGTTGTGAAGCCCAAGATATCGGGAAGGGGAAGGGGAATGAATGGGTGATGGTGGCCGGTTCGGTCGTTTCGTCATTGGGATGTCTTGCCCGAGAACACATGCTCGTTCATGATGATCTCCCGTCACCACTGATAGCCAAGAGGAGAGCAGCATTGATGGAGGGATGCGCCCCGGCAGGTCCGCCTCTTCCAGAGGCCAATGTATTCCGTTGGTAGATAAAATGACGCCCTAGATAACACCTCGAAAAGCCGGCCCAATAGCGGTGCAAATCAAGTAACCGCAGAATTCCTTCGTAATGATCATGCCCGAAGATGGTCGTCCCTACCCGTGCGCGCTGAAATAGGGAAATTAAGCAGTCTCCCGCTTGCCCTCCTTGAACTCCTTCTGTAGAAATCGTTAGCGGCCGTGTTTCTCGATGAGGGGGTCGTCGGTGTGTGCTCGGAGTGCGTACAAGAGCCTTGGCGGTGCCGTGGAGAGCATGTCTGTGGTTTCTCCGGAACTTGGGGTCGGTACCCTTGAGGGAGGGGTATCTGGAAGTCTTGGGCTTCTTGATACTGCAGTATTATCTCGAGTTAGCCCTCCGTTCGTTCTGCTCTGCTCGGTCGGCGTTCGATTCGTCGTACCCGTTCCGGTGCGCCTTGCGCGACTGGTTGTGCTGAGACGAGTTCTTGGACTCTGGAATCGATTCAGTCAGTATTTCTGTCTCTGAGGACCGGCAGCATTTCGAGAAGTTACGTACTGGCCATTGTGAAGGATGTCGACTCAGATGGTGGACGGTTGCTAAGGTCTGGGAAGTCGGGGTGCAAGGTAGGTGCGTAGCTCTGCACACAAAAAGTGGGAGAAATTTGGATTGCCCTAATCTGGTGGGTGTGGCTCATGCGGGGCTGGAGTGTGTGGCTGCCCCGTGCGTAGCTTTCTTGGCGGGCCCGGACAGCTCCCGCCAACCGCCAAAGGCATGAGCTCATCTCATTGCAACTGCCCAGTTCAACTGATACTTTCACTTTCATGTATGAGGCTTGAGCTTAACATAACACATTGCAATCATTATTCTCAGATATGACCTATCTATATGGCGTTCTTATATACAAAATGTCCCTCTCCTTCGTCCTCTACTCAAGCGCCCCCGCTCATAACATCTCAGGCCTCGCCATGTTGGCGATATGGGTATTCTTCTGTAATTTATGCCGCAATCGGCTTGAACTTTGTTTATTTCACAGTCACAGGTGAAACAAGCTTGGCTGCCGCAGTCAGGTCAGCAGACCTTTTGAGCTGCTTGGAACGCACAAGCTGAATGTAACGGAGGAAAAGAATGAAAAGAAGCTCGACACTGTGAGAATAAGGTCAGTCTCAAAGCATGCAGCATGTCTGGTAATGGAGGGCGAACGCACCGTTCCTTGGTCATCATCAAGATGCCCTGAACCAGCAGGCCCTTGAGAATCTGGGGTCCGATGCCCTTGAAGAGACCCAGAGCTCCTTCGTTCTGGATGATGAACTGCATCACCTCGACGAAGCTCTTGAATGGCTTGCCCTGACGAATCGCTGGCGGCTTAGACTGCAAGCCGACCTTGGCAACGATAAGGGGCTGAGTAACAATAGTGGCGAGAGCCTTGGACATGGCACCGAGGGCTGGGGTAGTGAGATTAGAAATATCCAACATCAAAAGGGGTCATATTCTCGAACTTACCGAATGCCTCCATGGGAGAAAGGTTCTTCTTGCCGGCAAACAGAGTCTCCTTTAACCTTTCATAGGCACCATATGTGATGGACGGGTTGACGACCAGCACCAAACTCGCCTTTAAACCCCTCCACAACCCACAGACGCCATCCTCGCCCTCAATAACCTCCTTCGCAGTGTCGAAGAAACCCTTTCTGTCCTCCTTGTTTTGCGTCTGTTGCCGAGTGGTGATGACTGCGACTGGGATGGTGAAGAGCTGAGCAAGCGCGCCTGCAACAGCACCGATGGAGAGTTCGGTGATGGTCGAGGTGGGCCCCGTGTGCTTGCTGTGCTTGAGGTACAGAGTGCGAACAGTCGAATGCCAGTAGAAGTAGGCAAAGTTGGTAGAAGCGACACCAAGCAGCGATCCAGCCATACCGGCATAGAGACCCTGAATTCCTTCAGCGGAAGCAATCCTGGAGATAGCGTCCCATGATGACTTGTAGTGCGGCTCATCGGAGGCGCCCTCGCCCTTCTCGGAGTTGGCCTTTACTTGCACCTGGAGTTTGGTCTTGACGCTACAGCATGGATGGTAGATTAGCAAATGGATTCCCCAGAACCTCTTGGCCGATCAGGCTGCATATCAAACATACAGATCGAGAGGATACACCAGCGTGTTGGCAAACACAGCACCGGCAGCGCCTGCTGTCGCAAGACCCCAGGGCCCAATTGGGGCGGGCTTTGACTGAGCACCCATTGTGTGATTTCTCGTTTACTCCTTGCACCTCGAAAGAGGGCTCTCCTTACAACCTGAATGCAACTCCTCCGGTGGTTGCGCTGTCGTTCGCGATAAGTGGATACGTCACAAAAAGGTGTATATCGATATCGGCCGGTGGATGATTTCCAGGTGGTTGGCTATCTGCGAATCGCGATGACGGCAGATGGGCTCGGCAAGTAATTCGAATGTTGGGGACGTCCGCCTGCGAGATTGAATGAATAGCAAAACCAGATATACAACACGCACGCAAGGCAATGGCAATGGTGAAGATGACGACGACGACAAAAAAGTGACGACAGGGACACCTCTAATAGGTTATAGGGGGCCTGGCCATGGTATTTACGCTGTAGGCCGCCGAGGTGCATCCGGCAAGTGCGGTCCACCGGCCGCGGGGGACCCAGTGTCTTTTTAGCCCGTGATGTCGATTACCGAACCGGATAACCTCGGTTGGCGATTGTGTGCTCGGGGCAACGCCAATTGAATGCGGCAAACGATACGAGTGCCTGGAAGACGCTCCTCAGCCCCGCATTCCTTCTGTTCTTTATCCCATCGACTTGTCGCTGGCAGGCTGATGAATGCCATTGTTGATTGGGACTTGGCTTCTCAAAACACATGCATTCCACCACCCCCCGGGCCCCGACTCATGGATCACGTTGTAGATGAATCGCTTTGATAAGATCGTGTGGCGCCCCGCACCGGCCTCGGAACCAGCCGACTGGGAGACCCTAGTTCGTCCAGTGCAGCTTGGCGACGGATCAAAAAGAACGAGATGCTTGTTTCGCGATTCGAGATGGGGGACTGCTGATGAGATGTTTCACGGAAGACGGGTTGCGCAGCCGCGGTTTATATGAGGGTAATGGCTTGAGAGAGAACTGCTGTATTTGGAGTCTCAATGCTCAGCCTCAGACGTCCATGATGGATAACCCAGCCACCCCCGCGTGGCTAGTAACTGGTCATCGAGGTACTTACCCCAGAACAGACACTCGGTATCATACCCCACTGGTGCTCGATTATCGGCAGTGAGTAGCAGCGCGTCGAATTGCTCGCAGATCTCGCAGACGGCATCTGTCAGTGGTGATTGGGCGGCCATAGAACATACGATTGAGCCTTGGCGATCGCTACTCAACTAGGACTCGACATTCACTCATATACGCACCCTTTGTCGTCAAACTCCTTGCCCGACTGACTGGTTACACGACTTCACTCTGACAACCAAGTAGCAATGTCAGCGAACTGGAACTCCAGAAGCAGTCCACTAAATAGACAGAATGAGGCGAAAGGGCTGGTGAGACGGACCCTCTTCCTACACACTGCCTGTCATCATGCTCACCAAGAACGTGGCTGATTCCCTAAATAGCAATATGAAGCGCTTCTAATGGACGGGAAGCGGAAGGATGCTTTGAAGCATGCCATCTCTGCTGCCGACTTCTACATGAAGGCCATCCAGAATGGGGCTCCAGGGGTAGACGCTGCTAAACTTCGTAACAAGATCTCATATCTGCTTGAGCTTGGCGAGACCATCAAGGCAAATGAGAAGCAAGCAGGCCTCAGCTCTCGACCTCCTGAGCTCATATCCACCCGCGTCCTTTCCACGTCTGAAAGGACTATTCTATTAAGGTCTTCGAAGCTCCATGGCCTCATCTTTCCGCCTTGGACGGCAGACACCGAATCCAAGGTGTTCTCAGGGACATCCCTCAACCAGAGTCCCGACCCCTATATGTGGGTGCACCATGCGCCGTGCTGCTCTTGACACCTGACCCTGGAAGGTGTTGCTAACTCGTCCTTGTCCAATCGAAAGTGATTCCACGCCTTTTTCTCTCTCTCCCGAGCAGCGGGCCATCTTCTCTGGTTGGAAACGGCCTTTGGAACTGGTGCCCGGGGTCGACGACGGCAATCTGGAATGGATGATGACTGCTGAGAACCCAATCGACCTGGCCCAGGATTTGGCGACGGATTGTTCCGTCGTAGCCAGCTTGTGTGCTGCCTCTCCCCACTTTACCTCGGAGAAGGGTTCTGTAAGAGGATCCGACCGTTCCTGTAATTATCATTCATGCGTACTGATGCTTGTTGGTAGTTGCTTTCCTCGCTCATGTATCCGTTCGACTATGAGCATAAGCGTCCCAAGGTTGTTAAGAATGGCCCATATCTCTTTCGTCTCAACTTTAATGGATGCTGGCGTTCTGTTGCTGTTGATGACCGCCTCCCGGCTACGTCAACGGACCGGACGTTGTACGTGGTGGATCGGCGCAATCCTAAACTATTATGGCCTGCCTTGGTTGAGAAGGCATACCTGAAAATACGCGGGGGCTACGACTTTCCCGGAAGCAACTCCGGCACAGACTTGCATGTCTTGACTGGTTGGATACCAGAACAGATCTTCCTGAAGAGGTGAGATGACTTCTCAGCTAATTAGTGCGTGGTCATGCTAACTGTTCAAAGTGATGACATCGAGCTCGACCAAACCTGGGACAGAATTAAGAAAGGATACGATGATGGAAACGCCATCTTGACGTTGGGGACGGGGAATATCCCACCAGAAGAAGAAGAGGCCCTGGGTTTGGTCAGGGAACATGACTATGCAGTTCTTGACGTACGAAGCGATGGTAACAGTCGTTCATTGCTGATCAAGAACCCTTGGGTTGACAGCCTGGTGTGGACAGGCGTAGGGTCTTCAGCAACCCTCAAGACGCACACCGTGGGATCAAAACCTGAGCACGCAACAAACCAGTTCTGGATGGCCTTTGAGGATGCTCTGCAGCACTTTGACTCTCTCTACGTCAACTGGAACCCAAACCTCTTCCAGTTCCGCCAAGACCACCACTTCAAATGGGACATGCCGGACGCAACAGAAGAGCTGGTCTTCACCAAGAACCCGCAATACAGCGTGGTATCCTCTTCCAACAGCCCCATATGGGTCCTCCTGAGCCGTCACTGGCAAGATGGCGAGCTTGAAATCCTGCGAGAACGAAAAGCCGAGCGAGACCGCCACAACGCTTCCCTCGCTCATGTCTCCAAGCAGCTCGGGTTCATGTCCCTCTCGATCTTTGCCGCCTTCCCGCCCGGTACCCGGCTCCCACTGCCAGAAAACCACCGGTGCCTCCACCAGGGACCCTACGTTGACAGCCCCAACACATTGCTGCGTTACGATCCCACTCCCAACAACCCCCAAACCCTCGTCGTGGCCCAGGGTGAGCTTCCGCTGCCAACATACAACTTCACCCTATCCTTCTTCTCCAACTCGCCCTTGACTATCCGTCAAGCCCCTGAACCGCTCAGCCACAGCGAAACCATCACCGGCGCCTGGAACCGGCGGAATTCAGGCGGCTCGGCGGCTCACCCGTCCTATTTCATCAACCCGCAGTACTCCATCACGCTTCCCCAAACCACCCCTCTGTCCATTTTACTCTCGACAGATGTGAAAGACTTGCCAATTCACATCGCGCTGATCTACTCGTCAAAAAATATAACCAGCATCTCTGGCAGAGATATCCTGGTGTCATCACCGGAATACCAGCGAGGCGCGACGTTTTGCCAGACTCACGGGTCGCAGCCTCTGGCGGCGGGGACGTACACGGTCATCTTGTCTACTTTTGAACCGGGCCAGCTAGGGAAGTTTGTGCTGAGGGTGGCGACGGAGGTGGAAGGGGTGGTGGTGGGGCAGGTGATGTCGTCGCAGGCGGGGAAGCTGAGGTCGGTGTTCCCGGAAGTGGCGGTTTTTAAGAATGGGGAGGAGAGGTTGAGGGGACGCGTGGGGATTGGGAGGTTGACCAGGTTGAGTGTTGTTGCGAGGGCGGCGGTTGCGGGGGGGGAGGCGGGGAATGGAGGGGGAGGACTGAGGATGAAGCTGGAGTTGGGGACGGGAGTGGGGAGGAGAGTGGTTGACAGAGT